CTGTAGAATTTGTGACCGTAGGAAAAAAAAAAATCACCCTGATTTCATGCCTTATTTCGTAACCAATGTCATTAAGTTAGTGTGTGTGTGTGTTTATATATATATATATATATATATATATATATATATATGTTACCCCATCCATAACTATTTTCTGTACTTTTTCTAGCAGCTTCTGTGAAGTTGACAAAGTCAGCAAGAACTTTTGTGACCTCTGTTTTGTGACCTCTGTTAATCCCTGATCCTTTGCATCATAGCGGGACATGGCAAACTGATGTATCTGTCATTGCTGATAGTCTTTTATTTTCTGCATTTGGTGAAGGCCTGTCACAGTAAGAGATGCTTTTTGTGATCATTATTGTCTTTACTGCAGTGAAACATGCAGCACTAACACACATGAAATGCATTAAATGCTTTGGTAGTTGCATTTATCCTGCCTTTAAGATCTTTCATTATAACAAAACTGGGCAAAAATAAATGTGATGGACCAAAGTAATTCTGGGCAACAGATTACCCAAAGGATATTGTAACTTAACCCTTCCCTTCTCCTCTCTTTCCTGCTCAGGCCCTAACACAATGTATCATTTCAGATGTGTCAATAAGACAGTAAGTTACCTCAATACGGCAATAAGACAAAGTTACCTGACTCTTACTAGCCTGTCACAGCAGGCACAATCAAAGCTATTTCCGAGCAGAACCGTGGTAGCTTGTGCTCAAACTCTAAGGATAGACTTACTAATGGGGGGAAAAGGGGCCTCCTTGCTGATCCCTTTAGCTCCTCCAGTTAGGAGACCATGTGTCCCCTGGCTGTGGAAAGTCCTCTGTCCTGTTGCTCACTTAGTCTAAGATGAGGGTCCCTTCAGTTTAATCCACCCTGGCCACAGCTGAAGCTAGATGCTTGTTATGGAGTAAGAGTGCCCACACATGGAAATTATTCGTAAATATTCCTAAGGAAGAGCTGTTCATTAAGGACAACTCCGTGTCTGCAATCACCTCTTTTCCATATCCAAATACCTCTTCTTGGGATCCTTAAAACTCTCTCTCTCAGGCCTGAAAGAGAGGCAAAGATGCCTAAGTTAAACCTGACCGTACTGTCCTACCTCTTTTCTTAGTCTGAAGTTGATGGAGACCTTGTCCATTTTCTCAGCATAAATTGTTTTAAGGACCAATTTCTCTCAGTGCCAAGAAGCACCATACCTAGGACTACAGGCGGAAACCAAGGAGAGTATTGTGCTGGACTAACAACTTCTCTTAAGGGATAAAAAGCCTTTTCATGCCCAGAGCAGACAGAGGTTAAGTTTTGATGCAGAGAAGTTTATGCTGTTCTGTAGTTCTTCTCACCATTTACATGACACTTTTTTTCCCCAGGATCGAAAGCCTTCAACTTTCTCCTGATGATTTTCCCTCCTTTGATCTTACTTTCACAGACATAATTTGTAAATTATGTTCTTTTCTCCTGGATTTCTGAAGGAAATAAGACCTATGCAATTCTCCTATGTGTCCATGTTTTTGTGTCAGATTCTCTATAACGAGTTTTGAACTTGTTCAGTTTTAACTCAGTTTAGCAGAAGGTTAGAAACCTTTCAGATTGCAAGTTTCTACAAGATTTAGGAAAATAGGTGACCATGTAGATAGTAAGGCTAAGAAGCTCACCCTTTATCAGGCATCAAAGAATCTGCGGAGGAGAGTAAAGACAAAGCAAGAGGAACTTGAAAATTGACTTTTATTAGCTCTGTTCCTTATCAAACTGCTTGTCTTTGGAAACATTCCCAATGTTACTTTTTTAAAGCTTTGCTAAACTTGACAGCTATTTACAAAGTTTACTTTCAGAATGAAAATAGAGAGGAAAAATGGTCACCACTGACAACTGCCAAATTGCAGTGAGCCAGAACGTGTGTCTGATTCACACGTGTATTAAATAAGTATATTGAGCCTTGAAGATCAAGGCTATGGTCTTAGAATGAACTCCAAACTCTGTTTGTTATAATGCCTCACAAAGGAATTTGCACATGCAGATGCTGGCTGCTGCAACTCTGTATGACATCCATAGTGAAAAACTAACACAGATTTATTAGGGCTTTTATGGTGGAAAATGCAATGAGAAATAGTAAGCGTAGCAGCAGTTTCAAAGTGCTTTTTGCCCAAACCATGGCAGGCTATATTGCATTTCAGACTGGAGTCAAGTCTCTTAGAAAGCCGTCCACCTTCTCACGCTGCTCATGATATCCGTTCCTTGTGTATGTCAGAGAGTGAAGCTACGCTCAGGCAAGTAGTCCCCACTCCAGACAGGATGATGCATATGAAAATAAAGAATCACAGAGAGATTGGTTGCTCAGGACCTTGTCCAGTCAAGCTTGAAAATCTCCAAGATAGAGATGCCACAACCTCTCCGGGCAACCTTTTCTGGTCCTAGCCACCTCTCATGACGAAAGATTTTTTTTCCCTAAAGTTTCAGATTCATTCCCTAGATCTATTCTCCCTTGCTTGTTTATCTGCTTATGGTTATCAATTTTGCCCTGAGAATTTGTGCAAGATTTTGAACACAAGCCCTCCAGACCTAAAAGGATCAGTTGCTCAAGCTATAGTTGCAGCTTCGAAGTTGCAGCCAGGACAGCTACTCTTCATTGTGAACTGGACACAGAGAGAGATTCCTGTGAGTCATGACCC